ATACTTTTTCGTAGTTTATTGGCTATTTCATTTCACACATTGGTGGACAGGTTTGTACAACAAGTCTGATTACTTTCACTTTTTTTTAAGCAAAAAATATTTTTTCGTAGTTTATTGGCTATTTTATTTCAAACATTGGTGGACAGGTTTGTACAACAAGTCTGATTACTTTCACAAAATTTAAGCTAAAACCATTAAGCCAGTCCAGAGTTATGGGGGTGGCTGTCTTGAAAACTAGCGTCTATAGCCTTTCTAGCAAAATGCACAAACGTGAGAGTATTGACGGTGATCGATTTCATGTTTAAGCATAGCGACAGAACTTTAGGTACTTAAGCATGGTCTATGTTGTGTTCAGATCTCATCTATGGTGTTTGACTTTGCTGGCGAAGGCTTGTCACGTGACTAACCCTAGCCACAAGCTTCAAAGTAACCCTAGCACAGGTCTAACCCTAAGCCATATCTCAACCCTAAGCTTAAGAAAACAACCCTAACCCTAGTCAAGTGTTAGCCCTCGCCCCAATTTCAACAAATAGTGCGAAAAAAAGCACTAGTCACGTGACCCTCATTTTTGGAATTAACCCTTTTATTGGCGGGTTCCTGGGAGCTTTTGACTCTCTTTAAGGCAAAAAAAAAAAAGGATTTGGGTTCTAATTTAAATGTTGTCAAGGAAACTGCTGCTGATTATTATAACTTTAGGCTCACAAGGGATGCCTGCGAGATTTTTGCTCTTGTCTTTGGCTAGCGATCAGGTCGGTCAAAACACAGGAAAAATCTTTTTTTAAGTGTTTTTTTTTAGTCAAGTTCTCGCACAAGAGCTCCTAGACTTGCATCATGAGGCTTGGAGAGGTAGGTGAGGCAATCTTCTGGAAGAAATCAGAAGTGGGAAGCGATTTCACGAATACAGTGGCGATCAATCGTTGATTTCGATGAAATGGCGCCATTGAAATGAAGTCCACTCCCTGGCCGTCTTGTGCTTGACTTCGCAACCTACCATGCTTATATTGGCAAGTTTTGACTTTTAAAGAGATCAATTGGCTTGAAATTTTCCTGGTAGGACCGAATGACTCGACACTTAAAAATACTTTCAATGGATAGTGTGGGGCACGTCCTGTCGAGAAAATACACCGTTACCCACATTTCTTCGCGAGTGAAGTTCAAAGAAACACTTGGCTCATGGAGTGTACCCTAAATATAGAGCTGATCCTCGGCTTGCTCAACGAAACTGGATACAAAAGAGAAATTGTTGCAAACTAGAAGGACCAAACATTCCTTCTGATGTTGAATTTTGTCAAGAATGCAGTATTTTGTGCAATAAAATTGAAAAGAAATTCAGGCTTTTTCCAGTTCTGTGGTCT